AATTTTTGTTCTTTATATCTATGTCCATTTATACAACACAGTTGTAGAAAGTAGCTTCTAGGAGATTGTGTAGCCAGGCTCACAGTTGGTACTCAAAAAAGACATTTGAATAGAAGAACAGAGGATTAAATAAAATGAAAAGAGGTTTGAATAAGATAATAGGTCAATAGGTTTTCCTTTCTGAAATCTTTTAAAATTAATTTTATTTATTTTATTTTTATTATCTTTAAGTAGTTGTACAAAGAACTGTCAATTTCGCATACCAACTTATGACTACAATGCATCTTAATCAATGTCACCCCATTCACAGTTCTCCCCTATCTTGCCTGATCCCACCTATCCCAAGTTACATAGTTGCATTTTCACATATGTGTGTTATGATTATATTATATTCATTCACCCTTCCTCTCTCCATTCATTTGCCCCGACCCAGCAACATCACCCCTCCACACAAACACACCAAAACAACATGGTTCCTGGTATTCATTCTGTTAGCCTATGAGTTAGTCATTCAAAAGAGTTATACCATTGACTATAATAGGCATGAAATTACCTGTTTGTATATGTATATGTATATAAATGTTTTTGTGTTTAGAAATTAGATCTAACTTCCACATACTAGAGAAAACATGTACCTATTTTTTCTCTTTGAGACTGATTTACTTTGCTTAACAAAAATTTTTCCAGGTCCATCCATTTCCCTCAAATTACAAATTACATTATCTGTGTGTGCATGTGCATGTATGTATCTACTCATCTGTCATAAGGCATCTGAGCTCTTGCCATAATTCGGCTATAATGAATACTACAGCAATGAACACGGATGTGCAAGTGTCTTTACTATATTCTGATTTGTAATATTTTAGGTAAATTCACAGCAGTGGTTTTGCTGGGTCATAGGATAATTCTGTTCAGTATTTTTAAGAAACCTCCAAACTGCTCCGTAGTGTTTTACTAGTTGATGTTCCCACCAACAGTATAACAGGATTCTTTTTACCCAACACCCCTTCCAACATTTGTTAATTTTATTTTTAATAGTTCAATACCAGGATAAATTCATTTCTCTGATGTACTAGTCATTCAACTTTCTATAAAGAGTGGAATGGATTGTTCTGTGCTTTAAGATTGTTGTTTTGCAAAACAGTAGGGAAAGTAGATTGCTGGAGCCATTGGAGTCATGTAGGCAAAGGCAATTCCACATTTACTACCTTGGTCAGTCTACCTAGACCAGCCTCGATGACACATAGTGATACTGGTTATTTATGAAGATCTCCACATCCACAATCTCCTTACTACTCACAACTACCCTGTGAAATAAATAGGGGTGGCCCAGTGCCCACAGTTCATGTCTATAATCCTGGCTACTTGGGAGACTGAGATATGAGGGTCGCAGTTTAAAGCCAACCCATGCAGAAAAGTCCGTGAGACTGCTATCCCCAATTAACCACCAGAAAAAGCCAGAAGTGGAGCTGTGGCTCAAGTGGTGGAGTACTAGCCTGGACATCAAAGCTCAGGGACAGTGCCCAGATCCTGACTTTAAGCCCCAGAATTGGCACAAAAGAGAGAGAGGGAAAACAATGAAAACAGTGTAACTGGTTGGAGAGTATGAGAAATGATACTGTCACAGACTTCTTGCTGGTAGACAGGAGTTTGATGACTTCACTGGAAACATATTTCACAGTCCCTCATTAAACTGTACTTCCTGTAAACCAATCATTTTAGGTAACTCCCAAGAGAGTTACCCAACATTACAGAAATCTAACAGGGTCTTTACTAGTAGTAGTAGAAGTACTAATAGTATGCAGTCCTGAGGTTTGAACTTGGGACTTTACATATACTAGGCCAGGATTTAACCACTGGCTATTTTTTGAGAAAGGGTCTTTCATACTTTTGGCTTCTAACATGACACTTCCATTCTCAGCTTTCTGAGTAGCTAAGATTAAGTGGTGAGCCACTGGCGCCGCCTGGCCCATTTTTAATAATCATAAAGCTAGTCTGGAATTATTGTAATGGCTAGAAGGACAGTCATGGGGATGTAAGTCAAGCAGTTTTGAGTTCTGTTTCCCAACTCAAAAGAGTTGTTATTTTAAAGTATTTGGCTTGTTAACTTAATTAGAGTTATTTTAGTTGTGTTAGACATGCCAAAGTTTGGCATGTTTAGTCCAGTAGATATATTATAATATACATGGCAAGTTATCAAAAATTTACGAGAACATTTTGTGTGTTACACATGCACTTGTTTCTAAGGTGCAATGAAGATTCAAATTCAGCTGAGAACTATTTATTAGTTGTAAAATAAAATACAGTAAGATAAAGAATCACCTAGAAGAGGCACACAGTTTTAAAAAAATGAAAAAATACCTTCATAATTATGAGCCTTTCCTATTCCACAGAACTTTGAATACAATATACAACAAAAACTTAGATGTTAATTTTGTTTTATGACTCATAGCCAAAGATTTCCTGCTTTCCCATTTCTACCAAATAAATACTGTATGAGTTGAATACAATTTGTCAGTCTATTACTCTTAACAGAATTTATAACCACATATATGTGTGGTGTGTGTGTGCTGAAACTCAGGAGTTAGGCTCTGGCCTTTAGCTTTTTTGCTCAAGGCTAGCACTCTACCACTTGAGCCACAGCTCCACTTCTGACTTTTTTTTTTGGTTAATTAGATATAAAGGTTTCAAAGACTTTCCTGTCTGGGCTGGCTTTGAACTGTCATCCTCACATTTTAGCCTCCTAAATAACTAGGAAAATGTACAATTTCTTTTGGTTGGTTTTGGTTTTTGTCTTGAAACAAGATCTCATTATTCATTTCAGGCTGGCCTTGAACTTTCAATCCTCATGCTTCTGTTCCCTGGATGTTAGGGTGATAGGTTGGGTACTACCATGCCCAGCTTATAGCTTTGATTTTTGGTTTGGTGTTGTTTTGTGTTTGTTTTTGTTTTGTTTTCAGTGCTTGGTTTTGAATCAGAACCTCATGTTTTCTAGAAAAACATTCTACTATTTGAGCCTTTTCTTTTTCTCTTATTTTTATAGGATCTCATGCATTTGCCAAACTGGCTTCAGACCGAAAACATCCTATCTCCGCTCCTGAGTAGCTAGAATTACATATATGCACCATCACGCTCAGCCTTTGTAATGTTTTTATAGAATAAATTTCCCATATTTCTCAAAGCCAACATTAAAAATTTATAGATTAGAAATATTTCAGTTTAGGTCCTTTTCAATTCTGTCACCAACTTGAAGAAAAATAAGAAAAACACCTAAAAATACAGTTCAGAAAAAACTATTGTTAATGACTTGATGTTATAGTCCTACATATATATTGGCATTTTAATACACTTGCAAAGCATATGTGTTTTAACATTTATCAAAGCCAGAAAAATGATAAATCCTGATATAATGACATATGAAAAGATCTCTAAGTCATATATATATATATATATATATGTATGTGTATGTGTGTGTGTGTGTGTATATATACATATATACATATATATATATATATACCATTCCAGTTGAGATGTCCTTAAACTTCTCAACATCATAGTGGGAAAAAGTTATCTGGCTTTTTATGTTCAATTAAATATGCTTCCTAGGATAGAAAGATTTTATAATAACCAGTCATAAAGTTGTAGAGATTTTCACTCTTTCAATGCATACTGCACCCTGAGCCTCCTCTTCTTTCAGACATATAGAAATTATAAAGGCAAAGAAACCCTCACCAGTCATCTAAGATTTTAGTCACATGGTCACTTGATAGTTTCACACCAGAATTAAAACCACAATGCTGTCATATGTGTACACTTCATATTCAGTGCAATCCTGTGCATGAATGTGTGTGTATAGTTTATCCTTCAGTGTCCTTGGGGGTATTAGCTCTAGGTCTTCTATGGATACCAGAATCTATGGGTGGTCAATTTCCTTTCATAATAGAATAGTTATGCATTATGCACTCTCCCCATTATCTATAACTAAAATAATGTTATTACTATGTAAATAGCTGTAATACTATACTGTTTAAGAACTAATGACAAGAAAAATGTGTACATGGTCAATACAGATGCAATTTTCTTTATTTTACATGAGTGTGCATTCATGCACATACACACATGCCCACACCTGTACTGGGCCTTGAACTCAGGACCAGAGTGCTCTCCCTTAGCCTTTTCACTCAAGGCTGGTACCTATAACTTGAGCCAAAGTGCCATTTCAGGATTTTTTGATGGGTACTTGAACATAAAAGACTCACAGACTTTCTTGCCTTGGCTGGTTTTTTATTACAAACCTCAGCTCTCAGATGCTTCCTGAATAGCTAGGATTATAGGCCTGAGTTCAATAGTGCAATTTCATTTTTGAAAATGTTTTCTATGGATGGTTTGTACATACATATGGTAGAGAAAATGGTTCATAAATATATAAGTAATACTTTTAAGTAGTGGTAAGTGCTAAGAAGGAAAGATAATGGGATAATGTGGCATACTGTAAGCTAATGATGATGCCAGACACATCTTTTCTGAATGGATGACTGTTAAATTGAAAATCTCACTGACCAAAAGGAGGTAAAGATGCCCAGATTGAGATAGTAAAAGGAGAACCATCCAAAGCAGATAGGACAGCTGTCAGTGGGCAAAAGCCAGGCCTGGTTTGAGAGAAACGCTTGTGTGCCTGTGTTACAGAGCCACGAGGAGAACAAGTAAAAGAAGACAGAACCTATTTGGTCTGTAGATCAGAGGGATAAGCTTGTCCTGATTCTAATTATACCAGGAAACCTATAAATCGTTAAAAACAAAGAGCTTTGTGATGTGATTTCTGCTGTAGGACAAAGTACTCTGTGGAAAATGGGATCAAGACAGAAGCAAAGACGAATTTGGAGGCCATGGGGGAGGAATGTGTAAAAGCCCAGCTACTTTGGCAGCTCTGTATGTATAATTGAGAAAACAACAAATTAAAGCAATTATAAATCTATGTGGGCATTTCCAAAAGTGTCGGAATGGATTTAGGTAACTCTGGAAAAACTTGTTTTAAGGTAGTGTCTTAATTAGTAGTAGAGATTTGCCCAGGCTTGTGGGCAAGGAAAACTGTATACCCCATAATGGCACCAGAAAGCTAGAACCCGTCTCATAAATCCAGGGGCACTGAACACTTAAGGAAAGATTTTTTTTTCAGTTATGATAAGATGGAGAAATCTGTGTGTATGTGTGTGTGTGTGTGTGTGTGTGTGTGTGTGTGTATGTGTGTGTGCATGTGCATATCTGTGCCTGCGTGCTGGACCTTGAACTTAGGGCCTTGAACTTTCATCTTGGCTTTATGCTCAAGGCGTTGGGCCTTGAACTCAGGATCTTGAGTTTTCAACTTGACTTTCTGCTTAAGGCTAGTCCTCTACTACTTGTGCTACTGCTCCACTTTGGCTCTTTGGTGGTTAATTGGAGATCAGAGCCCCATAGACTTTTCTGCCCAGGCTGGCTTCAACCCACAGTGCTCATATTTCAGCCTTCTGAATAGCTAGGAAGACAGGCATGAGCCACCAGACCCTCAGTTGGCCTCACATGTATGTCCCAAGATAATGTACTGATAACTTGCCCTGACACATGTGCTTGAATCTATGAAAAAATAATAAGTGCAACAACTAAATAAAGATTAATCTCAAAAATACTATGCTGAGAAATAAGCTTAACAACAAAGGGCAATACCATTTGATTCCATTCATATAAACTTCCAAAATAGTCAAAACTATCCAGCAGTGAAAACAAGTTAAGATCAGGTTGACTTGTATGTGTGGTATAGCCTAGCTGGGGAGTGGAAACAGGTGCTATTGGCCTTCTCTATCAGGATGATTAGGTTGGACCAACACATGCGTTCGATGAAGCCCATCAAATGCGATGCTCCTGCTTCATCCTCTCAGTTTGTAGATAATCCCTCAAAAATTAACAACTTTATATATTGAACTGTAGTGAGGGAATAGACCAAAGTAAAGATCCCAAAGATATGTACCTTATTTTAGGTGCATCTAAAGAATCGATGGATACAATATGATAAAAATGCTCACATAAGAAGGTTAACAGTACAGTTCTTTCCACTTTCATGTGTATATTTTAGTCTTCATAAAATACTAAATGTTTTGAAGACCTGAGTCAAAGGACAAATTTCATTAACATTTGTCTTCAGGTTAGAGCAAACCACTGGGATATTATGGAGCTTGATATCCTTTTAAATTGCCAGGTTTTCAAAAGAACAGGCCCAAAATACAAGCAAAGTTCTCTTTGAATAAATAACTTAAGTATCTAATCAGATACATGTTTATATGAAATTCTTAAAGTACAATGAGTTCCCTTTTTTTCCTTGATTTGACGAACATTGGATGTTTAGTGTCTTAACACCTGAGGAAGATAAAAGATAATAAACAGTTATAAACATCTCCAGATTATACAATACCTTAGAGCAGTGTACCTTGACCCAAGTTCCTTAATAGCTGTCTAGATGCATGGCTTATTATATTGTTATCACCTTTTGATAGTTAACTGTAACAAGACAAAATTGAAATACATCCTCTATTCATTCAATCTTCAAAGGAATTCCAGGAGATTAATATTATTCTTAATTGAGGAAGGCCTAGCTCATATTGCTCCGGACCTAGTTTGCATCATTTCCTGGGTTCAATTCCCAGTACCAGAAAAGAAAATGGAAAAAATAAAATAAAACCACTTTTGTTCTTTTATGTTAAACTTATCTAACGAGTGTGTGGTTATTTTATTAAATGATGTTCTGTAGGTAGTCTCACATTTAAATTTTCTCATGGCAAAATGGTTGATATAAAGATGGAGCCAAGAGTACACTATTTCAATTTGGAAATTTAATCCAATTCCATTATTTTTGTAAGTGTGTGTGGTGTCAAGATTTGAACCCATGGGCTTATGCATTCTAAACCTACCTCTACTACTGAGCCACCCCGCTACCCCGAAACTAGTTTGCTCTGATCTTCATCCTAGATTTTATTCACAGGCTTTTTGTTTTATCCTTTGGATGTACAAGAGAAAGAAAGACTCATTCATGATTATTTTGAAACTTGAGTAATTAGCTCTGGAAATCTTCAGGATGGACTTGCATTTATTGAATGAAATATTAAACAAACTTCACCCTTATTCCCGCACATAGATATTTGGGCAGCCAGGCATTTAGGAATTTTTTTTATTGTGAACATACTGTACAGAGGGGTTACAATTACATGGGCAAGATAATGAGTACATTTCTTACCAAGCATTGCAGCCTCCTCCTTTGTTTACCCTTCACATCCCTTCCCAGCCTCCCCTCGCCACCCCCCCCCCCGCATTTAGGAATTTTTTAAGCTTTTTTTTTTTTAACCACGTTAAAACAAATAATGAAAAATTTCCTGCATATAACATTCTCAGTATTTTGGTCCATTTCCTTAGAATAGGTTTTTCAAAGTAGTATAATCATGTACAGAATTTATATGTATCAATAATTCATAATGTTGCTATTATTTCTCAAATACATGATCTTGCTTTCTGAATATAAAAGTAATTCATTCTTAGTGTACTTTATGATAGTCCATGAGGACTAATCATACATAAATACTGTAGGTGTTCATTAGAATTTTTTAAATCTTTCTGAAAGTTTGTTTATTTTTTAAAATTGGGGTGCTTGTACTCACCTTCTAAATAAGTACTCTACAGCTTGAGCCATATCTCCTAACCATAAAAGTGCTTTTTTTTCCTATAAGTACTAATCTCCCCCATCCCTTCAGTCCTGGGGCATGAATTCAGGGTCTGGACACTGTCCCTGAACATTTTTGTTCAAGACTAGCACTCTACCACTTGAGCCATGGCTCCATATTTGGATTTTTTGATGCTTAATTAGAGATAAGAATCTCATGAACTTCTTGCCCAGGCTGGCTTCAAACCACGATCCTCAAATCTCAGCCTCCTAAGTAGCTAGGATTACAGATGTGAACCACTGGCATCCAGCTATAAGAACTAATCTTAACGGCATATTTCCTTTTGCTGTACTGACAACTTTTACTTACTTATTAGTTTAGTGATAAAGTAATGCTTAGGGTTCATATGAAAGAAATTTACAAGCTGATATCCTTGATCATTTAAAATAAAAGCAATGTTTGTTGTTGTTGTTGTCATTCCTCTGTAAATTTAAGAAACCTTTCTGAAACATGCTCCACACCTAGGCTCTGGTGGACTGGGCTCACCTGGTTGACTTGAACAGAGTGGCCAGTATTTAGAGCGACATGGAACACACCTGATCAGTTAGAGGGAAAGGTACAGGCAACAGTCAGCTTATAAAGCAGCTGTTGTTCCATGATGTGTTCATTGATGGATCACATGCTATTGTCAAAACCCTGAACCTAAATCTGCCCTGACATCTTTATGAACTTAGAACTGGTACATCAGTCTGGCTCTATCCACATGCATTAGAATGGTTATACCTCTTTGTCATGTTGTATCTGCCATCAAAGCATCTCACTTACTCCTAAGACTGTGGATATTGGGCCAAATCAAAGTTATGGTTGGAAGATTCATAGAATCCTCTTGCCTCTGCAGGCAGGAGATAAGGACCCTTTCTTATGGAATTGCACAATTCCCATGTTAGAGTCCTTTTCACTACCACTGAATCTGAATGAGAATTGGAGTGAAGAAGAGGGAAATCCCCACAGAGTTAAAGAGGATGTGAAGATTGCTTCACAGTTGATGTTTGTGTAAATACCTTGGATTTGATTATGTGGCATCTGAACATGGGCTCATCACTGGGGCTCTGCTCATGCAAGGGCCAATTGATGCTTTAAGAATAATTCCCATGGAGAGGGAACAAGGAAACCATAAAATAGAAATGCATTTCTTTATTTGCTTATTTATTCAGTGCAGGTACTGGGGCTTGAACGCAGGGCAGAACACTGTCCCTTAGCTTTTTCATTCACAGCTCAGCCACTTGAGCCACAGCTCTACTTGTGGCTTTTTTGGGGGGGAGGGGGTGATTAATTGGAGGTAAAAGCTTCACAGACTTTCCTGATTGGGGTGACTCTGAACTGCAGTCCTCAGATCTCAGCTTCTGTGCAGCTAGGACTTACAGGCATGAGCCTTCTGTTCCTGGCTTACAAATTCACTTTTGAAAGAGCTCCTGATTTTGTGTACTGCCACCTGGTGACTATGAGTGTTGAAGTAGAACCTTTGCAGACAGGGCCTGGCCCAGTCTGAGTTGAATGTCTAAAGCCAGAGGCCATATTTCTTCACTCTTAGAATAATTTTGGTTCAAAGTATGAGTCCTTTAACAAGCTTCCTGCTTCAAAAGTCCCAAGCTTCTTTGTTTTGTTAAGCTTGCCTAAACATGACTTTCAAAGAGCTAGGTTTGTAAATATCACTTTATTATAACCCTTTCCTTTGCTTTTAAATACAGACTGCCAAGTACATACAGTCCAACTTTGCTGCTTAAGTCACAAAGGTTTCTGGGGTAGGTTTGGTATCTTGACACATGAAAGAATGAAGAATGGCAAAGTTGCATTTTGCATGGGGCCCAAACCACTGTACCCACACCTGTGCTGGGTAGAGTATCAGAATGGCTGCTCAAAAATGTTATCTTAGTCTTCTTGTTATCTCTAACTATTCTATAATTTGACTTTTGATTTATTTTTTGATATATTTCTTTGGAGGAATAGTCCTAATCTCTAACCCATTGGGCTTTTTGTTGTTGTTGTTTTTGGGTCTGGTCGTGGGGCCTGAACTCTGGGCCTGGGCGCTGTCCCTCAGCTCTTCAGCTCAAGGCTAACAGTACCACTTGAGCCACAGGGCCACTTCCAGCTTTTTTTTTTTATACTCATGTGATGCTGAGGAATTGAACCCAGGGCCTCATGCATGCAAGGCAAGCGCTGTACCACTGAACCACCTTCCCAGCTCCTTTGTTGTTGTTTTGGTTTTTGTCAGTTGTGGGGCTTGAGCTTAGGGGCTGAGTGCTGTCTCTGAGCTTTTTTGCACTCTACCACTTTAAACTACAGCTCCACTTCTTGTTTTCTAATGGTTAATTGGAGGTAAGAGTCTTACAGACTTTCCTGCCCAGGCTGGCTTTAAACTGTGATCCTCAGATCTCAGCCTCCTGAATAAGTAGGATTGCAGGTGTAAGCTACCAGAACCTGGCCAGTTGGGCTTTTAAGTTATACTTTTATTGTTTATTTCTAGATGTGTAGTATTGAGGTTCAACACTATTTCTTAACATCATACAAAATAATACTGATCAAAATGAACTCCAGGAAATGGAAACAAGAGTATTTTTTTCTTTATTGCTGTTTTTATTTTCTTTTGTCTTGTTTGTTCATTTATATATATATATCTTTGAGAGGGTAAGAGGAGGCACAGAAATGGAGAGACAAAGGGTTAAAAAAAAGATGCAATGTTATTTACTGGACACTACGTTGAAAATGAACCATACAACTTGTGGGTGGGGATGGGAGGGAAAATCTGGGAGGGAAGAGGTGACATTATCCAAAAAGAAATGTACTCTTTACCTGACTTAGTAACTATAACCCATCTGTACATCACCTTTATAATAACAATTTAAAAATTTTAAATAATGCTAAAAAATATTGCCTATCATATGTCTATAAGCATATGTCCTTGGACACATAATAATGGGACATGCTGACTTTTGGTATAGCAAAATGTTTACTGTGTAGCTATGAATTTATGTCACAACTATATCATTAAAAACCTTGATATTTATCTTTGTCTGCTGTGGCTCTTAAGACTATTCTGTCTTAAGTACTGCCTTAGAATGTTCATTTTTTCCTTTTCAGTCTTTAACATGGTTTTGCACCTGTATTTTTCTATAACATGACTCTATGCATCATAGGATTGAGCTCTCTCTTATTATAGATTATATTTTATATAAACTTAAATATGTCTTATCACCTCAGCTTTACATGTGCTTGGAACAGAGTTTATGTTGTAAGAGACTAACACGCACAAATCTGGTCAGCATTGTTTCATTGTAGTTTCACGATTTTACCCTGCATTTCCTGAAAGATCGCTTTTCCCTTTTGTTTCAGTTTGCCAAGGCACAAGTAACAGACTCACCCAGCTAGGCACTTTTGAAGACCACTTTCTGAGCCTGCAAAGGATGTTCAATAACTGTGAAGTGATTCTTGGGAATTTGGAAATTACCTACGTGCAAAGGAATTATGATCTTTCCTTCTTAAAGGTTAGTTCAATGAATGTGGTTACCCTCCTCAAATAAAATAGAACAGAATATTTGTAGAGAAAAGACCTTGGCAGAATTTAGCTTAGGTGCTTACTTTCATTGTGGCAGGTATAAGTCCCAGGAACTACAGGTAAGCATTTTATGAGAAGGTCACTTTAACATTTCCAGTCCAGGTTATAGCTGGAAAAGAAAATTGGGAAGAAACATCCATCCGTCATCACAGACCCAGACCTTAACCTTGACCGGCACTGCAGCTGGGGTACATGGCATGGCAGATTAAACAAGTAATCTTAATAAGCCAGGTACCAATGGTATATACTTATAATCCTAGCTACTCAGAAGGCTAAGATCTGAAGACTATGGTTCCAAGCCAATCCAAATAGGCAAGTACAAGAGACTCTTGTCTCTAATTAACCACCAAAAAAGCCAGAAATGGCTCAAGTGGTAGAGCATTAGCCTTGAATAAAAAGGCTAAGTACTGTAAACTGAGGATCTGAATTCAGTTCCCAGTACTACCATACACACACACACACACACACACACACACACACACACAGCATCATAATAAAAATATAAAAGCCTGTCTTCATACCATGTATTTATATTGTTATAAATACTCACACCATAGTAGATTTTGAGCTATCAGAGGTTTACAAAACTTCACAAAATTCCTCATTATTTACCAGTACATTCTAGTGAGTCGATAGAAGCCAGCTCCGAAGGTTTTAGAGTTTGGTTGGGAGGTAGTTGAGCTTGCATGGAGTTTGCTTGACCTTTTCCCCTGGATTTTCCCACCTTTCCTTCTTCTTTCCCTCCCTCTTTTCCTTTCTTCCCTTTCCTAAAAAATGATGTGAGACAGATACAAAGTGATTTCTCATTCCCTTTCTCATTTGTGTGTGTTGCACCCCAAGTTGAGTTAGAGGGTGGTTTCAACATGCTAAATACTGCACAGCCTGCCCAAATAAGGCTTCAAATGCACATGGGAAGGGGGGAGATAGGTGCAAATCCTCCCACGTTTGTTTCCCCAGTGACAGTTGTGTACATGTTTCCACATGGGTCCACTACTCGTGTACACTGTTTTGAAATTAGGTGTCTTGGGAGCTTCTGAACCCATGTTAGCCACGATCTCTTGAGTTTCACAAGAAAGAAATAACATGATCATGTTTTGTCTTCCTAGACCATCCAGGAGGTTGCTGGCTACGTCCTCATTGCCCTCAACACGGTAGAGAGGATTCCCCTGGAGAACTTGCAGATCATCAGAGGAAATGCACTCTATGAAAACACCTATGCCTTGGCAGTCCTGTCTAACTACGGGGCAAATAAAACAGGGCTGAGGGAGCTGCCCATGAGGAACTTACAAGGTAAGAGATGGCTGTCAGGGAAGGGTGACAATGCTGAGTGCCATCTGGTTGTTTTACCTCTGAGAAGGCTTGTTTTCATCAGTCATGCCTCAAGTGTTTGTGTTGCAAGATCTAGCAGGTGGAAGTCTGATAAGGCCACAAGAACGGCAGATTTTCAGTTAGGTATCAGTTTTTCCATGGCTGAGGGAAAAATTGAGAGTGATAATAAGAAATAATAAGGATTCTAGGTAAAGTAGAAAATGAGTACGGCCATTGGCCTGGACTGGAATGGAGAGTTTGTGTGTGTATGGACTGCATAAGCTGCCAGCCTCAAGCTGGGCACCGGTGGCTCATGCCTGTAATCCTAGCTACTCAGGAGGCTGAGATCTGAGGATTGCAGTTCAAAGCCACCCAGGCAGGAAAGACCATGAGACTCCTATCTCCAGTAAACCACTAGAAAACTGGAAGTGGCGCTGTGGCTCAAGTGGTAGAGCGCTTGCCTTGAGCTAAAGAGCTGGGGGACAGCGGCCAAGCCCAGAGTTCAAGCCCCACGACCGACAAAAAAAAAAAAGCTGCCAGCCTTATACCTTTTGACCTCATGTATAAGGACACACTTGTCTCTCATATGCTTCAGGGCTGTCTTCCAAAACACTAGCAGATGCTTGAACCTCAGGCCAAACCAAAATCCATACATGCTATACTTTTTCCAATTCATGACTGCTTATGATAATTTAGTTCATTAGTTAGGGACCAAAATAACAAATAATAATAATAACTACACAATGACTAGCATATGGCATAAATGCTCTGTGGTAGTAGTTGCCTGTTGTCTTTCTCATAATTATCTTCTACTACAATAATTTGGCCCACATGTGACCACAATTACTGGACATGTGGGAAGAGAAACTGCCAATGAAAGGCAACCTACTGTGCCTTAAAAATCCTGCCCACATTTGAAACAGTATGGACGATGGTGCTTCTGTATGGCATGTGAACTAAGCACGGGGAGAGAAAGTTTTGTCAACATTTGGATTCTCTTGTGCTCTATTCTTGGGACACTCCTATGAGAGGAAACAAGATGATGGTAGAAGAGAGACAAAGTCAACAAACAAAAACACAAAATTGTAGTTGGGTGCCCTTGGCTTATGTTTGTAACCCTAGCTATTTAAGAGGCTAAGATTTGTGAATCATGGTTCAAAGCCAGCCCAAACAGAAAAGTTCATGAGACTCTCATCTCCAGTTAACCACCAACAAGTCAGAAGTAGAGCAGTGGTTCAAGTGACAGAATGCTAGCCTTGAGCAAAAGGAGCTCAGGAACAGCATCCAGGCCCTGAGTGTAAGCCCCAGGACTGGTACAAATACATACATACATACATAAATACATACGTATGCACCTACGTACATACATACTGGAGATAACAGGCCTTTACCATGTTGAAGGTTAAATTTGGTAACTTTGCAAAATGCCACAACCTTCCTTCAAAGCAAATGTTACATTCTGTCTTTTTATAAATGAAGAATTGATAATAAGGTAGCACTCACAAAAACCCTATGGTCGTGAAGAGAGAGACAGAAATGGGCCCCCAATATTTTCCCAGACTCTGCTGTTCTTGGCCTTTCCCACAGTTCTCCTGAGGAGGCCTGGTTCTGATCAAGAAAAGGATGAGGTGGAAAAAAAGGGATGAAGGACAGATGGAGTCTGGGTTCTGCATCCAAAGCCAAGAACAGAACGGGTGCTCACGCCCCTAGCTCCCTAGTTTCTCTCCCTATTAATTAGCTGCCTTAAGAATTCGTACACACCACTTTTAACTGCTCAGAGTGCCCACCACACAGTTTCCGTGTCTACAGTAGTACTTATCTGTATTTTACCCACACTTTGTGAAATGGCCTGTTACATTCCTTCCGTTTGCCTTCCTCCATCTTGTTTTACACGCGTCACGGCATCAGGCAGCAGCAGATTGTGAGTCTGCCTCCTAGAACCAGACTGTCCCATCACTCAATCACTCTGTTGCCAACCAGGCAACTCTGGAACATATTTTTTGCCTCTCTGTGACTCAGTATCCTTGTTTCCAACTGTGCATGACATATCTGCAGCTTTGAGAATATTTAATGAAGTACAAGTGAAGCATGAAGCTGTTGCAGAGGTCTCGGTTGTTTATATCTGGGGGAGGCACGGTTCTGGGATTGAACCCAGGGCTTCACACATGCTGAGTATAGACTTACTACTATACTACTCCTCAGACCCATTATTATTCTTTTAGTGCCAGTACTTGGACTTGAACTCAGGGCCTGGGCTGTTAGCTGTTTAACCTCAAGGCTTGCACTCTTATTATTTGAACTACAGCTCAACTTCCTAAATTTTATTTTGAAACAAGAGTTAAGATTCTATAGATGCAAATACTTTAAAGTAGTACCATATACTACTAATGTAGTGTCTGCCACAAAGTGAGTACTCATTAAATATTGAAAGTCCAATTAAAATCCACTGTCTCCTTGGAGGTGATTCCTGATGGCCATTTCACTTTGCTGTCTCCGCTTCTTCTCAGAATGGCTGATGGCTCCGGAAGAACCTTACCTGTTTCTTCTATCTCTTGTCCTCATTGTTACTGCAGTCTTGATGTTCCTATCCTGTGTTTCCAGACCTGACTACTTGTAACTGGCCCCCATGAGTCTGTTCTCTTGATCATCCTGCTGTTACCTCTGACACCCACACTAGCTCTCAAGAGTTTGGTCTTCTTCTGCAATCTATTTGTTCTGTCCTATCCAGTGAGAAAACTGTCCACCTGTTCCTACTCTGTACCTTCTGTCTTTAGGAAGTCTTCAGTACTCCCAGTTCTTTCTGCCATAAATACATACCTAAACATGTCATGGGAGATCTCATTCCTTTCAGCAGCTTTCCTGGGAGAGTCCTTCCTTATTATCCATGTTGGCACCCTCTGGGTGCCTGACTCATCCACTTTCTGCCTATGGGATACTGAACGACATTTAATGTACGAAGGGTTTTTCTCCCATACTTAAATGATCATCACTGGACCATTGTGTGGATTCACAAACAATGGTTTTACATTCCACTGCTCTAGTGACAACCTTATGACTATGGTCTCAAGGCTATTAAACTGTGTGACATATCTACCTTGCTGGAGAAGTTCTAAAAGAGGAGCTAGTAGGTTAAATTTGTCTCTGCAGATTCTAAAACAGCTGTCAAATGCCTTAGACATATAAATTATCTCTTTTTTTTCCCTCTTTGCAGTACTGGGGTTTTGAATTCAGAGCTTTGTGTTTGCTAGACACTCTACCTCTGAGTCATACCTCCAGCCTTTTTTTGCACTGGTTGTTTTGAGATAAGGTCTTTTTGCTCAAGTATATGCCTGGGTCATCATCCTTTTTGTTCACACTTCCTTATACTACTAGGATGACTGTCACACACCCCCATGGCCAGCTTCTTCCATTGAGATATGATCTCATAAGCTTCTTTTGCTCAGGATGATCTGAAATTATATTGCTCCCACTCTGAGCCTCCTATATATCTGATTTGTCAAGCACATAGTACCATGGCCAGCTATTGGTTCAGAAGAAGATTTCATAAAAGTTCTACCTGAGCTATCCTCAAACCACTATAATCCTAATCTTAGCCTCCCATGTAGCTAGAATTACAGGAGTGAACCACTGTGCCCAACTCATAAATGTTTTTGTTTATTATCATGGATGCAACACTCTCCTTTTATACAGACTTGACTTTATTTATCTCTGGGCGAGGGGGAGGGGAGGTAGGGTTTTGAAACAATTATCTCTATGCATTTCACTGTCTTTGTCTGTTCCTTATACATACGGATTGATCTGGTCCCAGATCAGATCCATACTCTTTCCTCCAATGAAACTCTTCCAGAGGCATTTAGGAGCAGATTATTTTCACCACCCAGCTACGGGAAGGTTGTCTACTTTGTCCTGGAACTCTGGGCCTACAGTTGTTATGGGTTCTGCCTGTCCCCTTTCCATTACCCAACCATGCCAGCCTAGTGAGTCTGCCACAACCCACCATATACTTGCCATTCATTCTATGCTCTTCCTCTCTCCCACATTTCTAAATTCCTAATCATAATTCAGAGCCCAGCTCAGGAGAAAGCCTGACTCTGCCACGATACCATCTTAAACTGTGTTTTCATCTGCCTCAGCAAATCTTCTATAGGGCTGAACATGAGACTTTGTTTGTACACTAACGTCTTTCTAACACAGCCTGAAATGCAAGGAAATGTATACAGACTTCCCTGGAATTTAAAGGAGGTAGAAAGTTTGCTTACTATTGTTCTCTGTTTGTGCAGAAATCCTGCTTGGTGCTGTGCGATTCAGCAACAACCCAGAACTCTGCAATGTGGAGACCATCCAATGGCGGGACATCGTCAGCTATGAGTTTCTGAAAAACATGTCAATGGACTTGCAGAGCCACTTGAGCAGCTGTAAGTGTACAGCTCCAGCAATAGGTGTGGATATACACATTAAGGCAGGGAAGAGAGAATTTACCCTTAGGTCACATTAATTAAACTAAAATAAAAATAAAAGGTCTGGTCACCAAGAGAGCTTTTGGGTAAGACAGAGGTTAAAGTCAAAAGTTAATCTTTCAATATTTTATGTATTTATTTAATGGGGGTGGGATGGCATTTCATTGGGGATAGGAGAGTGGTACTGGGGCTTGAACTTTAAGTCCTTCTCTTTTTCTGTGAGCCAGTCCTATGGCTTGAACTCAGAGCTTAGGTGCTGTCCATGAACTTTTGTGCTCAAGGCTAGCATTCTACCTTCCAGATGAGCTACATCTCCACTTCTGGTTTTTTGCTAGTCAGAGATGCGTCTCAGGGATTTTTCTGCCTGTGCTGGCTTTGAACTTCAATCCTCAGCCTCCTGAGTAGTTAAGATACCCCAGTGTAACTATTCTATCACTCATTCAGAACTGGACATAGGAGGTAATAGGTGCATACTAGAGGTATCTAATCTTAGATACCTCAACACTATAGTGTAAGTTGTCAGAACATTCTCCAAGCCTAGACAGATTGCAACTCACAGCCCTTTAAGTTCATTTAAATTCTCATTTATGTATCTTTGACTAGTTAAAAAAAACTACTGGCTAACTCAGTTTCTACAGATGAAGTGTAAACAAAAGCAGTACATGGCTTTTATGGAAATCTACTTCATCACCCTGCGACCCAACTGAGAATAAGAAATTTAACTAAAAGTGTGGTTCAAGTAGTCAACCATAAATGAAAAAGCCAAGAGATAACATGAGTTAAATTATCAGTACTGGCATGAAAGAAAATAAGAAACAGAAGGAAGAAAAAGAAGGGAGGGAGAGAGGGAAAGAAAGAAGGAAGGAAGGGAAAGAAGGAAGGAAGGAAGGAGAGAGAGAGAGAATTTAAGCTTTTCCTCGTAACTACAACAGTAGTCAAAAATCTTAGGAAAGGTATAGTTTCTTACCCTTTGTTCACACCTACTGAGATAGGATTTTAACATCTAGATTTATATTCCAGGCCACAAATGTGATCCAAGTTGTCCCAATGGAAGCTGTTGGGGTGCAGGAGAAGAAAATTGCCAGAAACGTAAGTCAGTGGAAAATCTCTGCTTGAAGACCTCCCCCTGTGCACAGAGGTCAGGCCACTGTGACCTCTTTTCTACCACCATGCAGGTGGATAGATATTCCTCCCTGATAATTTGCAATGCTTTCCTGAATACAGCACCACCTGACAGTCATGAATGGTAGTCTTGTGATTCTCTCCTCATCTGGTTGATCCAATGTGGACACTTAGGGCATGTCAGTCTGTCACCAACAAGTGGAAGGCAGCCACCTGTACCCCAATCATTCCTTCTGGACAATATGTGTAGCATCTTCCCCCAAGAATAAAAGCCTTGCCAGGTGCCGGTGGCTCACACTTGTAATCTTAGCTACTCAGGAGGCTGAGATCTGAAGATCAGTGCTCAAAGCCAGCCCGGACAGGAAAGTCCGTGAGACTCTTCTCTCCAATAAACCACTAGAAAACCAGAAGTGGCACTGTGGCTCAAGTGGTAGAGCGCTCGCCTTGAGCTGAAGAGCACAGGAACAGTGTCCAAGCCCAGAGTTCAAGCCCCACAACCAAAAAAAAAAAAAAAGAATAAAGAAAAAGCATAAGAGGCTTACCTATGCTGGCTTTTGTCACCACTCTTCTTGTCTTCCCTTCTGCCCTTCCCTTGTCTGAGCATCTGCCTACATGGATGTTTTTCCAGTGTTTCTTCAGAAGCTTTTATTATTATTATTATTATTACTACTACTACTATTACTAACCTTCTTTGGGAGAGAGACTTTAATTTACCTGATCATGGTTGCTGGCTTATATGATCAAAGACCAAGAAACATGTGGATATATCAGCAGTAAGACTGACAAATTCTCCTTATGTTTAATTGTGATATAACTATTGAATGCCTTTTAATAGTTCTGCCTGTCAAGTATGTTTTTGAATATGTGCACTCTGTATTGCCAAAATATCAATCACTAATGTCTAATTATTAAGATCTAGAAGTTTGGAAATTGATCTAATCTAGTATTTCTAAGTGATTAAAAATAAATATGAGCCAGGTGCCATGGCTCACATCTGTAATCCTAGCTACTAAGGAGGCTGAGATCTGAGGATCACAGTTCAAAGTACCGGTGCGGGAGAGGGTGAAGCAGGCCGAACCTTTGACTCAAGTGATAGAGTGCTAGCCTTGAGTAAAAAAGCTAAGGGATAGTATCCAAATCTTGAGTTCAAGCCTCAGGACTGGTACAAACAAACCATGAATAAATAAATAAATAATATATGCAAAAAGGGATACCATGAGGAAAGGCATGATTTGATGGATTTGGCTGCATGGTGCTATCAGGGAATTTAAGCCATGAGATCACTAAACCCCATCCTTTCTCCCCTCTTTTCTTCTGCTATTTTCAAGTGTTCTGTGTCCCTAGAAAATGATCTTCCATCCACCTGGTGATTCAGCTCACTAGCAACCTTTCTTCTTTTTCAGTCACCAAAATCATCTGTGCCCAGCAGTGTTCACGGCGCTGTCGTGGAAAGTCCCCTAGTGACTGCTGCCACAACCAGTGTGCTGCTGGTTGCACTGGGCCCAGGGAGAGCGACTGTCTGGTAAGACCCAGATTTCAATGGAAATTTCTATTTCACTGCTGCTGTGCAGCTACCTATCTGCCAACCAACACAGGGGGCCTTCTGTGGTACACATTCATCTATTGACATCAGGAGGGGCAGACATTGCCCTTTCTTGGTGACACAGTGATTGCCTCTACCACTTACTCTGGGACCTCAAACAAATGGTCTGACCTCTCATTTCCTCCCTTGTTAAATGGTCTGAATGGCATATTCATCACCAGACCTGGCACATAATAAGCACTAATATTAAGTATGTGTTATTGTTGCAATAGTAACAGCATTACACTGTACTTTTCACTTAGTTCTGTTACAGACCTAGAGAATCCTTGCTGTAAGATCCCTTTAAGACACCCAATCACTGCTGTGACATGTTTTTGAGGGCTTATCTGGGTCTCCTGATGCTGATCCTTCTGCTCTACTTAGAACAACTTTATTACCTTAATCTTCACCTTGCTCTCCCTCAACCCTTCCCTAACGCATCTTCAGACCTTCCTTCTTGTCTCTAGAAGTACAGACTTTCTAATAGAAGCCTGGTGCCTCCATGGAGGTAAATATCACATGATAGTTGCATGTCAGGAGCATCTTGGAAGCCCTGGAGAGATCAGGGCTGATAGATGGATTCCTGAGGTCAGCAAAAGTGTGGTAAGATACTCTCTGGCTCCAAAAAAGGAGGTCCACCTAAGCTGGATTCTAGAACATTCTATAGATTGAAAGAAGGGAAGATTCTTCAATTCTAAGGGCTGGATACAGACCCCAGGGATTTTGACTTGGTTGATCTGACCGATTCTCATAAACAACAGCTCCAAACTTCCTAGGAAGAGCCACGATATATTTGGCATGGCCTTTTCCGTTGTCAAGATTTGTTGTACTTTGGCAATCAGTTCTGAAATATATTGACAAGTGTTCCTTATAAGGGAAACCCAGTATAAATTAAGTTTAAATATAACACCATTCCACAGTTACCACCACAGTGTGTGAACTCCTTCACCCTCTGTAACATAGGGATATGTTTTCTCAAACTGTAAACCATACATCGTAACAACTGGGACAGTATGTTTAAGAACAAACACTTCCAGAGCAAAGCCTTTCTGACTATACTGAAACTGAGAATTCCATTCTGAGCTGCTGAGATTTCTAACCTGAAATCAAAACAATGCTGGGCTTCATTCATATGGGCATTAGTGTCCTTTACTCAACTTGACCAGGAGTTGTCTCTCCTGTGACAGGTCTGCCACAAGTTCCGAGATGAGGCCACATGCAAGGATACCTGCCCACCACTCATGCTCTACAACCCCACCACCTACCAGATGGATGTCAACCCCGAAGGGAAGTACAGCTTTGGTGCCACTTGTGTGAAGAAATGTCCTCGTGAGTTCTCATATGGGAAATTCTTTGGCTGGTCTGTGCCCTCTTTTGTGCTCTACTGAGTAGTCCTAGAGTCCCCCAGCATGGTCAGTCTTAGTCCATGATTAACTGTTGTAAAGCAGGTGTCTATGCCTATCTAGGTGTGTAAAGAAGGCCAATTCATAGACCCAGAATAGACAGAAGCTGCCTATTCTCTATTCATGGGACAGTATCACCTGTCCAATGAATGATTTTGAAAGTTGGTTTTTAGTGTCACTAGTGGCCCAGCTGCATAACAGGAAAGATTCCTCTCTCTGGCTTCCACACCCAAAACAGAGAGCCAGCAGTTGTATCCCAGAGTGTCTAGTTGGCTGATTGACATACAGCTACAGACAGCCTCTCACTGTTTGAGTCTTGTTAACAGATCTAACTCAGAGAGGTTAACAGATCTACTTTCTCAATTGGTAAAACTTCTCGTGAAAGTTGTGCCTTTTCAGAGTATTGTAGCTTTGTTTTTGTCTTGTTTGGGTTTATTTTGGTGTTGCTTGAGTTCTTTTTTTGTGTGTGTCAGTTGTGGGGCCTGAACTGTGGGCCTGGACACTGCCCCTCTGCTCTTCAGCTCAAGACTAGCACTGTACCACTTGAGCCACAGCATCACTTCTGGCTTTTTCTGCTTATGTGGTGCTGAGGAATCGAACCCAGGGCCTCATGCATGCAAGGCAAGCGCTCTACCACTGAGACACCTTCCCAGCCCATGCTTGAGTTCTTAAATAGCCATACACACAAGTCTTGGGTGACATTGATCAAGATGGGCTGTACTCATAACCTGACTTGTTGAATGGAAACCCCTTTGCATTACTACTTAAAGATAATAAGAATGATCATTTTAAAAGTTAAGGAAACATTTTACTTTTAGAAGGGAAACAAAAATTTGTAAGAGAACAACTATGAGGGGAAACATTTTTCTTCTTGGATTTGCATGGATGAAATTTTTTTTAATTTTGTAGAGAATTAAAAAGTACACAAATCTCATCACCCAAGGTAAATGGCAAACCAAGATAAACTGGTCACAATTATGATGCAGAAAAAGCTTTGTGAGAAAACATAATAGAGCTCTAAAAGTCATAGGGAACCACTCATAGCCTAAAATGACAAAAGCACACATTCACAGAAACACAATTATACCGATGTCCCATAATATTTGAGAGAGATTGGGGAACTCAAAATAGAAACAAAAAGGGTTTCTCAAACATAATCTAAACACAAATATTAACTCAAGTGAGCTAACTTAAGAGGGAGAGAAGGAGGCCAAGGCAGAGACCGAGGTACCTGTCCAGGATACAGACACAGCTGGTCTCGTCAACACTCAGCACAGGGACACTTTGTCACACCACACACAACCAGGGAGGGGCAGAGCTGGGCATCAGCAGTAGAGTGAAATGAACCTTCAAATGTAGCCACTTAGGTAGAAGAGTGGGCTTTGTTTAGGTTCTCTCATGTTTAATGAACACTCCATAACCTGAAGACAGAGCCTACAGAGGAAACTGGACTTCAAGGAGGTACTTTAAGCTTGGGGACATAAGTAATATTGATTTCTTCCCTCCTACATCTATTCCCTGCCTGGGGTGAACCATCTGTATTTATCCAGGTTGTCATCTTAAGAGCTCTTCAACTCACTTCTTTTCTATGCATAACCTTTCATTCTTTATCTTCAAAATAAAGTCAATGGAAGGATCAAGAACCCTTTTCATCAGTCCCCATAAAGCAAGACAGGAGGATATTTGGGAGAGGCCAAGAGCACCTGCCACCACCTTTATCACCTTCCTTTCATTGTCTCCTCCTTAGGGAACTATGTGGTGACAGATCATGGCTCATGTGTCCGGGCCTGCGGTCCTGATAACTATGAAGTAGAAGAAGATGGCGTTCGCAAGTGTAAAAAGTGTGAAGGGCCCTGTCGCAAAGGTAGGGAATTCACAGGCTTTCTTCAGTCACCCCAAAGTTGGGCTCTATGCCTACCTCTAAGTGAACACATCTTACTCTTCTAGATGGAAAAAACCATGCTTATTGTTTCTTTAAAATACAAGATAAACAGGCACCTGCAGCTCACACCAGTAATTCTGGCTACCCAACAGCTGAGATCTGGGGATCAAGGTTCAAAATCAGGCAGTGGGGCAGAAGAGGGACCCTTATCTCCAATGAACTACCTCCAGAAAGCCAGAAGTGAAGCTGTGGCTCAAGTGGTAGAGCACTAGCCTTGGGCAAAAAAACTTGGGCACAGTGCCAGGCCCTGAGTTCAAGCCCCAGAAGCAGCACGCGTGTGCATACACACACAGGATTTAGTACAAAGACTGGTTTTAGGAATACAAAAAAGCAGAGAAGGTTTAGCTTGGGGGATCTCTGTGGTTAGAGCAGGAGCAGAGGCATGCTTGCAGCACAGGGACCGCCCTGGACAGCAAAAGGAAGAAGAACAAACATAATTAGGAGTAGTCAGACTTAGCCCCAGTGGGATCCAATGAAGAGAATTTGAACCACTGAGAGCTGTGACAAGACTAGCACCCACTTTTGCCCTAATAATGCCAAAGTCTTGGTACCTAGGTCATTGGGCAGGGGTTCATGCAACAAGAATTCCCTTTCTGCTCCCATCTGCCTGTGGAACTCTTGTATTCTTAATTCAACAACTACAAATGGAATAAATGTCTCTCTTAACAGTTTGTAATGGAATAGGAATTGGTGAATTTAAAGACACACTCTCTATAAATGCTACAAATATCAAACACTTCAAAAACTGCACTGCCATCAGTGGAGACCTTCATATCCTGCCTGTAGCCTTTCGAGGGTAAGTGACGGCTGAATTACATGTGCAGAGAATGGTGAATGAAGCTTGGTGTTGTTTCATTTGTTTTTTAAACTAATACAGACTGTCAATTAACAATCCTTTTGCTATTTGTTTCAGTGACAACTTCACCCATACTCCTCCTCTAGACCCAAAGGAACTGGATATTCTAAAAACTGTGAAGGAAATAACAGGTTTGTACTAGACATCCAGTAGCATAAGTAGGAAATTAAAATTTTGTAGACATTTTCTTTTCCCTGGGCATAAAAATACAACTTCTGGTCAAGTGCTAGTGGCTCACACCTGTAATGTTAGCAACTCAGAAAGCTGAGATCTAAGGATCAAAGTTCAAAGCCACTCCAGGCTGAGAAGACCATGAGACTCATCGCTAATTAACCCCCTAAAAGCCAGAAGTGGAGCTGTGGCTCAAAGTGGTAGAGCACAAACCTTGAGCAGCCTAGGCCCTGAGTACAAGCTCCATCACACACACACACACACACACACACACACACACACACACACACACACACACACGCACACACTACAGCTTCTGTCCAGGAACTGGCAGATCATGCCTGTAATCCTAACTACGCATGAGGCTTGAGATATGAGGACTGCGGTTCAATGCCAGCTTGGGCAGGAAAGCCCATGAGACCCTTATCTCTAATTAACTCCTAAAAAAAGCAGAAAGTAGCACGCGCGCACACACACACACATACAAATACAGTTTCCATCAATAAATATTAAGCTCTTTGATAACTTTTTAAAAGTGCACTTTTCCCCATGTGCAAGGATACAACTAAGCCAACCAAAGCTGGGGCCATTCACAACTTGGTGTAGACTCCCCCAACTCAAACCAGCAGTGCTGATAGCCCAGGAACTTCAATGGGTAGAGAGAGCAAAGAGGAACAAGATGAGGGACTGTGGGGGTTTTTAAGAATCAGAAACTAAACTTCAGTCTTCCATTTGCCTACTGTCAGGCATTGGGACCAAGACTATTACCCGAGTTCTACATTTTTTCTTCTCTGGAAAAGGAAATAATTCAAGTTGAGTTGAAGAACAAGGTTGACTTGGGGTTTTGAGTTCGATAACAAAAACATTTAAAACACTTTGTATGTGATAACACCTTGATAATTGGCAGCTCTAATCACAGCAGGAGCCTATTGAGGGTAGGCCGTTTCTGAGTGGAACTTGAGCACTGTGGAAAGCACACAGTTCCATAGCAGAGGAAAGATGTTGTTTCAAACGTCTGCCTTGACTTGCATGTTCACAGGTGCCTACATCCTCAGAGGAGAACTTTTAAAAATCCAATTCAGTCACATTTTCACACTTCCTGCCCATATGATAGTCTCAGGAGAATCCTGGACTCATGTCTCCTAGAAATAAAAGAATTGTCAAGACTTAGGTGTTTGAGTCTTCCCTCTTCTGCCTTTCTAGGGTTTTTGCTCATTCAGGCTTGGCCGGAAAACAGGACTGACCTCCATGCTTTTGAGAACCTAGAAATTATACGTGGCAGGACAAAGCAACAGTAAGTTGACTTCAACTGGAACCTGTTAGAGTATTGTCTGGTTTTTTTTACTTGGAAATGTGACTTGGAGGAGAATTGCAGAAATAGCCTGAGTTCCCCCACATCCTTGGTTAGAAGTCTAGTCATGCCAGGCTCGTTGCTGTGTGGTAACCTTTAGATCCAAACTGTGATGCCCCAAAAACTATAGGCCTTTCCTGTAAGAAAGACCCCCAGCCCACTTCCTGTTACCTGGACTTCCCTGGGTGTATGATGGGTGGGGAGGGACAAAGAAACCCCAGCAGTGGTAATTGCAGGTCTCCTGCAGAGGGCGCATCACTGTTCTGGAACCGGGTTATAGGGAGAGAAAAGAATGAAGAGAAAAGGGGTGGAAAGCAGAAGAGTAAAAGTCAAAGAAGGAACACATGAATTAGACTTTACACGTCTGTCATTAAACACCTTAATCCTCAGCTTCTTTGTTCAATTCTGTGCTAACTGACTCATTCATCATTCTAATGTCAAATGAGCTTCCTGCAAATACAAATCGCATTCCTGTGGTTTCTTATCAGTTGCAAACAGCAACTCAAGTCCCACTTCACCCCTCTATCCTGTTGCTCCCCTCCAACCAGATACAAAAATCACCAAGTTTTTCTGTGCTCTGGCTTTACCCAATCTCCCAGCCCTATTCACCAGCACATTCATGGTCCAGCAGCATCTGGTGGTTCTCAGCACTCAGCCTAGGTCTTCTTGTGATTCAGAACTTATTTTCCTTTTGTCTGAGTAAGTTTCAGTGGTCAGATCATATAGTGATCAGCTCCTATGGCTGTAAAGCCTTGGTACCATATCGGGAAGGAAGACAATGTCACTGGCCCTGCTGTCCAGATCTTCTCCCCATCTTAGGCATCTTTGCTCAGGGAAAGCCACCCTTTCCAGCCATCCCTCTGAAAAGCTGCTTAGATGTTTTGGCTGTGGTGCTGTTCAAGATGGCTGAATTTATCTTTCTGGATTCAAAGAATCTTCTAACCAAAAGTTCCCTGTATTTAACTTACATAGGATTCTGGCTCATGGTACCACAAATATTCATTCATTAAATACATGACTAGAGAGATGAATGAGTAGAAGGATGGGCAGAAAAAAACATATAATCTTTAAATGCATTCGGGTGCTCAGATAACCAGAACTCATTCTCCATTCCAGACCAATAAAAATGTAGTAAATAGGGCTGGAAATGGTAGTGTACACCTCTTCTTTTTTTTTTTTGTCGGTCATGGGCCTTGAACTCTGGGCCTGAGCACTGTCCCTCAGCTCTTCAGCTGAAGGCTAGCGCTCTACCACGTGAGCTACAGCGACACTGGTGGTGTACACCTCTGGTCCCAGCTTCTCTCAAGGTCAGTGGGACAATTAGCTCAAGACTCTATCTGAAAAAAAAAAATGAAAGCTGTAAGGACTGTCAGTGTGACTCAAGGAGTAGACCAATTGTATAACAAGAACAAGGCCCTGAGTTCAATCTCCAGTCCCAGAAAAGAAGTAATAAATAAAACAGATTAATGACATGAAGGCATTGATTCATTCTGCCTTTCTAAATGAACCAAACCTGGGTTTTCCTTGCAGGAGCTTCAGAAATCAATTGCTGTTCTAAAAGTCATAATACATATCTTATATGGTATTATTTACAATCATTGGAATGTAGTGTGTAGTGTAAATCTGAGTGATCCAGAAAAGTAAAATAAAGTTTTTGGTGACATGTCATTTTCATCACTGTTTACATTGCTGTTTTCCTTCTACTCAATTCAGTGGTCAGTTTTCTCTTGCGGTTGTCGGCCTGAACATAACGTCCTTGGGATTGCGCTCCCTCAAGGAGATAAGCGATGGAGATGTAATAATTGCAGGAAACCGAAATTTGTGTTATGCATATACAATAAACTGGAAAAAACTACTTGGGACTTCGGGTCAGAAAATCAAAATCACAAACAACAGAGGTGAAAAAGACTGCAGTAAGTAGGCGTTTTCCTTTTTGATCACGTACAGAGTTTGTGGAGGTCCTTTATTTTTAGGTAGACTATGAAAGGGACCATTCCCAAACATTTATCTTTTTTACTCCTTAAGCAAACTAAAATCTGTATATTCCTAATTGTGAAGTTATCATGTGAAACTCACCAGAATTCTTTTCAGATTATTCTAATTTCATAGGATAAATTTGTGCGGTCCATTTATAATTTGAAGAAGTTTAGCATTAAAATTATATCACATTTTTACTTATAGGTTGCCACCTACAATGTAGTTTCTGATGACTGTGTTTACACACACACACACACACACACACACACACACACATACCACAGAAGAACTGGGAGACAATTCACACTAACATTTTATCCTCTGATTTTTGGAGCCAAAACTCCATTTTTGAAGCTGGTCTCACTCTCCTGGGGTTTGGGAACCTGTCACTTAATCACTTTATGCTTTGGATTCCTCATCCATAATAGTGCTTTTCAGGGAATCTTTACAAATTCTGTATATGAAGGTCTGCATATGGTACACACGGCAAGTGACCACAAAATTCCCTATTGATTCAGTCAGGTGTGGCATTCATCATCAAAATGCCACCAGTGATCTGATCCAGACAACAGTGGTATCTCACAAGGCAGAGAAAACTCTGTGTCTCGCTCCTTTCAGATGTACTTTGTGTATCTAGGCAGAGCACATAGTCCCTAAGGCCAATGGTGCTCTTCTCCCTATTCTATAACTTTGACTTGATGTGACTTCTCAGAGGCCACAGGCCGTGTCTGTCATCTTTTATGCTCCTTGGATGGGTGCTGGGGCCCAGAGGCCAGAGATTGTGTTTCCTGCCAGAATGTCAGCCGTGGAAGAGAGTGTGTGGACAAATGCAACATTTTTGAGGGGTAAGATGTTGTTTTCATAGTTGTTCTGTTCTTCAGGTTGATTCTTCTTTCTTTTTCATTTGTGGTTATACTATGGTTGTCTTTGGTGTGTTAGGGTTTTTTTGTTTTTATTTTTGGCAAATTGTTCATCAAGATAGGAAAGAAGGGAAAGGTTTTTTTCCAGCCCAGTTATATACTAAATCTCTTTTTTCCTGAAAATACCTTCAGATTTTCAACCTGCACAGAGCTCCCAAGACATAGAATAAATGAGAGGAATGGCTTGGAGCAGTGCATCGGTCTTGTCTTTGGAAGCTTCTATTCCTGGTCTATGGAAATCTAGTAATACGGAATATATTTGTTGGTTAATTTTTTGTGTTGTGTGTCCCTACCACATACTGAGCACTGAACAGTGCAAATAATTGTACATATAACCAGAGTCAAGGAAAGGAATGAGTCATATAATGTTTGATGAATTTAGTTGCAGCCAACAAGTACAACCTTAGATACTCAGAATCTTGATGTGAATGTGAGGCTTTGTGTTGAGAACCAATAGTGATAATTAAAATAAAGGAGTAGACTGGAGGTCCAAGAAGAAAAAAGGCTTTCTTTTTAATACAAAAATTAACAAAACAAAAAAGGCAAAATTTATGGATAAGAGTTCCAGGAATTTCAGGTGGCTCTGGAGAATCTTTATCCTGTTTCCCTGAAAGAGTGTAAACTGGCTGGAATTTGGAATTCTAACATGTTTGGACCAGAATGGGAAGAGAAGTTCAGTTCAGAAGCAATAATCTGGTTAATAGGATCATGAAAATTTGCATAAATGATAGTGCTGTTTCAACTTCAAGTAAAGACTGTTGGCACAATCCTTGCTGCTACAAGTTGACATTTACATCCTGTTTTTCCTCTTTAACTTTCTTAAGAGACAAGGAAATTAAAATAACAGTATCCAGAAGCTTATGTCTTTCTGTTAGGTGTAGAGATAGATGCTGGGGGTCCAGCTGCATCTGTTCCCTCTGCAAAATTGGCTCTTTAAGCAAAGTGTGACCCAGAAATGAACCAAAAAATAAATCTGGGTTGGTTTTATTGAATTACTGTCATATGTCTAATGAGAAGATTTTTGTATGGCACTTCATGTAACAAAGCACTCTAGTTAATTATAAAGCAGATTTCAGTCTTAACAATTGCTGCAATGATTTAGTCTTTCCAATAAAAATTCAGCTTCTTGCTGGGTATCAGTGGCTCAAGCCTGTCATCCTACCTACTCAGGAGGCTGAGATCAGATGCGCACAATTTGAAGTAAGAAGGAAAGTCCATGAGACTCTTATCTCCAATCAACCACTAAAGAGCCAGAAGTGGAACTATGGCTCAAGCACTAGAGTGTCAGCCTTGATTGAAAAAATTAAAGGACAGCTCTGAGGCCTTAAGATCTAGGCTTAGTAGTGATGAAAGAAAGAGAAAGAGAGAGGAAAGAGGGAAGTAGAGAGGAAGGAAGGAAATTGGTTTCTTGTTTAACTTTAATCTACATATTGTGAGGAAATCTGAAGATATTCTAGCAAAATTTTACACATCTGTGTTTAATTCTTACTGCTTAGAGTAATAGACTTTGATTAATTTGAAGTGTTCCTCCTTTCTTTCTTTTCCTGTTCTATCTACTTCAGTATCTGTGAGGTAGGCATAAGAGAGAAGGGACATCTTATAAGAACTTTTTTTTCCCACATTTGGCTTGCTTACCTATTATACAGAAATTATATGACTATAGAAAAATGGAAGAAAGGTGCTCTGATTGCGAATGAAGCATAGGGGCTCATTATTCTGGGAAAAAATAAGGATTGCATTTGTGACATCGGTGCATTATATTACAGGGTTATCTAAGTATCCTATCTCTTTGACTTTTATCTAATATTATTTTGAATTTCTGTGTGTCTCAACCTCTCAAGAGATGGCATAAGTAGTTCCCTTCTTCCTTCTCTCAGGGAGCCAAGGGAGTTTGAGGAGAACTCTGAATGTATCCAGTGCCATCCAGAATGTCTACCCCAGCCCATGAACATTACCTGCACAGGCCGGGTAAGAAGCACCTCTGTAGTTACCCATCCCTGTTTCCTGGGGAAAAGCCTTCACATTGAGGACCCAAGTCATCCTTCTCTGAGGACATCCATCCAAGCCTACCTCCCAAGGGAGAGGTGGAGAAATCTGACTGCTATGACAAAGTGCCTGTGTTTGAGAAAAATCTCACCCCCACCTGTGGAATGTCTTTGCCTTTCTGGTTCAGCATCCCAAGCACATTAAACTGTGTCTGTTCTCTTTTCCGTATTACAGAACAGTCTGTGCTTCAAATACCATCAAGTCAAACATCAAATTCTTGTGTAATGTTCCACTTAAATTCAAGAATTTCAAGAATTTTCAAAGAAAATCCTAGCAATTAAAAATAGCTGGGTGCTGATGGCTCATGCCATAATTCAGGCTATCCAAAAGGCTAAAATTTGAGGATCTTGGTTTGAAGCCAGCTTAAGTAGAAAAGTTTATGAGCATCTTATCTCCAATGATCCAGCAAAAGTCAGAAGAGTGTGGTTTATGTGATAGAGGTCCAGCCTTTAGCAAAAAAGCTAAGGGACAGGGCCCAGGCCCTGAGTTCAAGCTCCCAAACCAGCATAGAAAACAAAAAAGTTTCTTTCCTACATGTTCAGTTGCAATCTTGTAAGGAATGCAAGTGTGACTTCTAGTCCCTCTAAAAACAATAGCATAATGGTGTTAATTCTTGGAAGCATGTATATACAGAGCTCTGTTTGGATTTGAGTAGCCATATCTAAATCTACTTATTGAAAACAGTCTTCAGAAGTTGTCATTAAAGCAGGCAGAAGATAGTAGGACCAGAGGCTAGTTACAAAGCAAACCATTCATTTATAGGTTTGCATGGCCTTGGATTAAATTTTCATCCTCCTAATGAAGTAAGTATTGCTGCTGAAAGTCTTCCAGCTGCCTGGCTCTGAGTAGCCTCAGCCTTTGAGTGGACAAAAACAAGACATTAAGGAACATACCAAAGGGAACACCCTTCCCACCGTAGTACTTCTGCCCCCTTAGGAGGCACACACCCAAGGACACCCAACATTTGTATCTCCTGTCCCTTCTCTGCCAGCAACTTTCCCATGCCACTTTTCAGTCCCTGTCTATCTTTTGGTCCCTGGACAAACACTGATGTTGGTTTTCTTAAATTTGCCTCAGGAGGCATGTCTTGTCTCAATACTTCCTTTGAACATCAGATAAAATATTCAACAAGGACTGAACAGGGAGAGATGAAGGAGAGAAATGGAAAGAGTGACATTGATCAAGAGGCATTATACTCATAAACTGACATGTTGAATTGCAACTGCTTTGCACAACTGCTTAGAAATAATTTTAAAATTAAAAGGCAGGAAAGACTGACTAATAAAGCTGGAAATATACATACATATATACAAACCAATATTATATTAATATGCTATATTAATATGATTTATTTATATAATTATAATATAATCATATTTATTTACTATAATAATTATATTTATATTATATTATATATATATACACAAACCAATATTATATTAACTAAAATTTATTGAAGTATAGTTTATTATATGTCTGTATATCATATGTATTTACTCCTTCTTTTATTAATATCTTCACTTATATTATGAAACTTCATTGACTACAGGGTGGGGTCCTCAGGACTTAAAGAGTAACAAAATAGTAACAACTATTCATTTAGAGAGTAACCAAATTGTAGTGGTTATACATTGGGGGTTTTGTTGTTGTTTTGTTTTATTTGCTTGGTTAATTATATTTTCTTATCTTTAAGTAGTTGTGCAAAAGTTACCATATAAAAAATCAGTTTAAGCTGGGTGCCGGTGACTCATGCCTGTAATCCTAGCAACCCAGGAGGCTGAGATCTGAGGATTGCAGTTCAAAGCCAGCCCAGGCAAGAAAGTCCGTGAGACTCTTATCTGCAATAAACCACTAGAAAACCAGTAGTGGTGCTGTGGCTCAAGTGGTAGAGCACTCGCCTTGAGCTGAAGAGCTGAGGGACAGCGCCCAAGCCAGAGTTCGAGCCCCCTGACCGACCAAAACAAAAAAAATCAGTTTATAAGTACAATGCATCTTGATCAATGTTACATTGGGTTTTTTGTTTTGTTTTTGTCAGTCGTGGGGCCTGAACTCTGGGCCTGGGTGCTGTCCCTCAGTTCTTCAGCTCAAGGGTAGTGCTCTACCACTTGGGCCACAGCAACACTTCTGTCTTTTTCTGCTTATGTGGTGCTAAGGAATTGAACCCAGGGCCTCATGCATGCAAGGCAAGCAGTCTACCACTGAGCCACCTTCCCAGCCCAGACACTGTTTTTTAATTAATAAATTATAACACACATATGCAGTTAGATGTTATATGATTACAGAGTAAACAGAAATTCTATTTGAATCAGAAAGTAAGCTACTTGATGTGATCCAAATCAATCAAGAGCAATCATAGGCTTGTTTCATACTTTAGGAACTTCTATAATATTTGACTTTTGCCCCCTCATGTTATATAAAAAGTTACTTCCATTTTGACAAAGAAGGTAATCATTCATAAGGACTTTTATGCAATCTGATACAGGGACCAGACAACTGCATAAAGTGTGCCCATTACATCGATGGCCCTCACTGTGTTAAGACCTGTCCAGCTGGTATCATGGGCGAAAACAACACCCTGGTGTGGAAGTATGCAGATTCCAACCGTGTCTGCCACCTCTGCCATCAGAACTGTACCTATGGGTGAGTAGGAGTTTGAGCACTGTGGACAGAAGACCCCACCCCCACCCCCAAAAGCATGAAATGATTCCTCCTCTGTAAAATCATACTATGAAAATAGCTACCAGATTTGTAGGCAGTAGATTACAAATACCTGTATTTTAAGTCAGTGAACTAAGGTGTTTTGTCCCTCTGGCTGCAGATTCAGCAGTGATATGTTGAAGGGATGTTTTGGTGTGAGAACTAATGTCTTTCTGCCTCCCAGAGGTTTCTTGCATAAGGATTTATGTGCAGATAGAAGAGAGAAAAATAACACAAAGAGAGCAGAGGTCTAGACCACTGCTTCCTCTGCCTTTTACTGGATTACTAGTTAGAATGAAGACTGGAGTGTGTGTGTGTGTGTGTGTGTGTGTGTGTGTGTGTGTGTGTGTGTGTGTGTGTGTGTTGGATCTAATAAAAGGTAATATTGCTTGGAACACACTTTTAAAGCAAATTGATTTTTAAGTGTTACCATGTGAAGTAAAACTATTTTGAGCCAGGCACCACCAGTGTCTCATGCCTGTAATCCTAGATACTCAGGAGGCTGAGATCTGAAAATTGCAGTTCAAAGTCAGCCCAGGCAAGAAAGTTCGTGAGACTCTTATGTGACTTCCAAAAAGTCAGAAGTGGAGCTGTAGAGCACTAGCCTTGAGCCAGAAAATGCTCAGGGACAATGCCCAGGCCCTGAGCTCAAGCCCCAGGACCTTTACAAAAATAAGTGAATAAAAACTACATTGACTCAAATTAGCAGAAGTGCTTTGATTACACTTATCTTATTTCCTGGAACAATGAATTTAGCAATCAAACCAGACCACACTTGACAATCAGAAGAGGAATTGAGTTGTCAGAAATGCAATTTCCCATTTACTTGTTTTACTTTTCTTTGCCTTTTCTTTTCTTTTTTCTTTTTAGTCTCATACCAGAGCTTGAACTCAGGACCTCAAAACTCTCACTTGACTTTTATGCTCACAAGTAACACTCCACCACTCTAGACTCTAGTCAAACTTTTTGATAGTCAATTAGAGATAAGTCTTGCAGACATTTTTTTCCTAGACCGGCTTTGAAATGTGAGTTATTAATATTACAGGCTTCAACCATAAGCTCCTAGATTACTTGAATTTCTTAAAGTGCTCAGTCTTATTTGGAATATTATCTTTCTTTCTCTGGATCTATCTGATGCTATTGTGTAAAATATGTCTTCCTGCCTAACTGAATCCATTTGTAAATTGGGACAATAATACTGCACAATCCATAGGTTTTTTTATGTCAATTTTTAATACAGTGATTAAAAAATCTAATAACCCTAAGATAGTTTCAGACATGAATGTTAGAAATGGATTTTTAAATACAGGAAGCTATGAAATAATGAGCAGAAAATTAAATTGTTCCAAATGGAAGATAATTGTTAAGAACATATTGTACTGACACTAAGACTCATTGCTATCATGTTTATATTTGTAAATATGACATAAGTGAATCAAGTTCATCTCTCAATTTCTTCTTTTCCTATTTTTTCCTCCCATTGTTCATAAAAGTTCTCTTACCATTGATAAATTATAAAATCTCCCACCTTTACCACCTGAGCAAGTAACTAGAAATTCCTCTTTATTCTACACAACACTTACAAAGTGATTGTTCTTGACCTCATTGGTGAAGATCTGCAGAGGAATGCTGTTCTCATCTTCTTTCTCTTTTTCAAGGTTGATATACCTGATTCATTCAACCCAAAGTAGCACAATTATTAGCTGGTAATGTATTTTTTTTATTGTAAAGATACTATACAGAGGGTTACAGTTACATGAGTGAGGTAATGAGTACACTTCCTCTTGAACATTGTTACCCCCTCCATTGTTTTCCCCCTACCATCCCCTCCCTCCCTACCTTCCCCGAGGTTCTTTTTTTTATTATTGTGATTAAGTGATTACATAATTTCCGGAATTTCACAGTATTGTGGAATAATGATGCTCATTTAAAGTCACAAGTTCATTCTAACTTTCCTGGAGCAAATTGTCTATCACAGTCTGTAACATATAACGGTGTTCACATGTTATATACCATATATGTGATCAGCAGCATGGGGATATTTAGTAGTGGTTCAACCAGATGAGAGGGAGTTCTTTGTTTCTTAAGTCCTGTTAGTTTTGTCGTATCACCTAACATTTTGGATTTAGCATCCACTTATCAGGGAGACCAATCCATAGGTTTTTGTTAATATGTGATCATGAGTGAACATGGATCAATTAGTGGTAGCACTCATGATAGTAGTGGCAGTGGTTGTAATGAGATGGTATTAACAATAGTGGTGAGGGTGATGGGGAAAGTAACCATAGTGATGGAGATGATGGTTGTGATGAGGTAGCATCTAATAACAGAGATGGTGGTGGTGGTGGTATTGGGGTAGTGATTGTAATAATAATGGTAATAACTGGGGATGATGTTAACAGCAGTGATGGGGTAGGAGTAGTGATGCTGAGTGTTAACAAGGTGGTAGCAACAAGAGTGGTAGTTGTGATGAGTTAGTATTATGGCAGCAAAGATCATGACCACTTTTTAGAGAGGATAAAAAAATTTTTTTGCCTGCAACTTGAACCAGGCTAGTTCTAGAAAGAAGTTCAGATGACAAAGAAGGGGAGAATTTGGGTTTATACAAGTTGGTTACACACACACACACACACACACACACACACACACACACACAATCAAGTCATTAATCTGCAAGACAAAAGTCAGGTAGAGATGACATCAACTCCAGGCCAGGTGTGCAATTTCAAAACTACCTTGTGGACTTCCTGTTATTGATCCAATCGATCCAGAGAGCCCCACCCGGTCTGCCTGAAGCTCACATTCCAATGGACAGCCTCACCTAGCCACATTCTGGCAAAATAGCCTTTGTCGGGAACATAGTTATGAGGGAAGTGTAACGATGTCTATTTCAGTAATAGTAATAATGATGATGTCGTGGCAGTGAGGAGGTGGGCGTAACCATGGTAGTGATGGTAGCGATGCTGATAGTGGTTGTGATAACATGGCAGAAACAGTGATGCTGACAGTGGTGGCAATGCTGATGTCATAGGAACAGCCACCAGCGCTGCTGGTGGTCGTGATGGTCATGGGGTAGTGATAACAATGTAATGGTGATAGGGTGGCAACAACAATGCTAACAATGGTGAGATGGTAGTAAAAAAAAAACCAGTGCTTGTGATTACAATGGTAGCAATAGAAATAATTTCAATTATGGCATTTAATATAATTAGTCAATCACCTGGTCATTTCTTCAAACCTGAACTATCTGTCTCCTTTGGATCTCACTCACCACAGCTTCCTCTTAGGCATTCCTGCAGGTTTTCTAATGTTGCTTTCAGGAACTTCTTGAAACATTGCATGAGGTTCAAGTTGCACTTCCAAGCTGCCATCTCTAAACAATGTTCCCAGTGTGTTTTACTCAACATTAGTGCCAGCATACTGTTGAGCAGAGATGATCACGCATTACAGGGACAGTGCAATGATGGGTGATTTTCAAGGAGGTTCCACCTTTATCCATGGCCAGGTCACTGAAGGATCTCATCTCTCTATCTCTTTGGCTGTTTAAGCTTGTGTTTGGTTTATGAACGAAAGACAAGGGCATTGCAGAGACAAGCCTGCGTTATCTGACACCATAGAAATGTGGAGGAAATATGGAATCTAGGCCCTGAGAACCAAGAAGAACTAGGTGTAAAGATCAGAGCCTAAGGAACAGGAAGAGAAAATATTTAGGACTAGCTGGCAGAGGAGAAGGGGATTAGTTCATTGGTACAATGTGTGCTTCGTATGTCCCAAGGCCTGAGTTCAATACCCAGCAAGGGGGAATAAAATAGGTAAGAGATATTCAGGAGACCAGATGACACTATCCAACAATAGTCCTCCTGGTCCTCCTCACGTATTTGAAGTGAAGTTATTTATCTTTCCCAGGCCCTGAAAAGTAACTCTGAAAGCAAATTTATCCAGCCTTTTTAAATCATCATGCTATATAATCAAATAATAATGGTCACTTCCCCCCACTGTAATGAGGGTGCAACAGCTCACCCTGAAACACTCATCCATAAAGTAAATTCTGTCTTTTGTATGAATGTTGTCCCAGTCACTGGGCCGGACACGGTTCCCTCTTGTTTCTGGCTCTCTGGGTCTGTGATCATCATGGCCAACTCCCAGACTTTGAGACTTGTATCTTTGTTTGTTTGTCTCTCTTCCTTTCCTTTTTGCCACTCCTTCTCTTGGGCTTCCAGGTTCCTGCTGCATCTCCTATCCAGTTTCATTCTTAACTCATCAGGGTTCCTTTCCTCCTCTTCTTCGTCTCATCCGGAAGTAAGTGCTATCTCAGGAGCACCTCTGAACACTCCCTCATCACAGATGACTGGTCAAAGCACAAGCTTCTTCATAAACTCCTTGGTCATGTTGCCTCAGGACATGTGTCTCCTCTTGGCTACCCCCACCCACCTCTCCATCCTGATGTTTACAGCCAACCATGACTGAGCCATCCTTGTGTTACCTTTCAATGATGACCTGGCTGTTTCATACAAGGCCAAAATAATCCCTGTTACAGGCAAACTCTGAAAAGTACCTGCATAAATTAACAAATGTATTAATTAATACTTTCATTCAATCAACAATGAGCTTAAATAATAAATCAGTTCAACCAACAAATTGATTTAATTGATAAAAATTGATATATTGGTTAATTAATAAATTTGTATGTTTACTGATGAATTAACAAATGAGATTACTGGATAATAAGTTAGTAAGCACCATCCCAACATACAGATCCACTGAGAGTAACCGAAAGTACCTTATTACACATTGTCTTATGATTTAATTTTAAAATCGCAAAATCAAATTTTAAGTTATGAAACAAATGCCAAAGAAGTAGAATGAGAAAAAAATGTGTATCTTTTTTTTCTTTTATTTGTTACAGGTGTTCTGGGCCAGGTCTTAAAGGCTGTCCAACCAATGAGTGAGTATCACAGCTTGGGGGCTGATTGGCATCCTCCAGTATAATGAAATGTCTACATTGTTTTCTTGTCCTCCAGCCTTGGCAGGTTCTTACATCTCCTCTGGTCTAGCCTGAGTTCGCAACAGAGTAGGCCAGTTCATGCTGCCCTCCTGTCTCAAAGGATGACTGTCATTCACAAGGGATGCAATGCTGGGTGGGCTTTCACACACCGACCGTCTCTCCTGCTTTAGTTATACCACTTTTGCCAAAAGTCATCTTGTCTTAGCTTTATTCCTTTCCTTTTTCTCACTAATGTTATCACAAACCTGTGTTTAAAAGTCTTTTTTCCGTAGCTGGGCAATAGTGGCTCACACCTGTAATCCTAGCTACTAAGAAGAGTATCTGAGGATCTTGGTTCAAAGCCAAACCAGGCAAGAGAGTCTGTGAGACTCTTATCTCTAATTAACCACCAGAAAACCGGAAGTGGTGTTGTGGCTCAAATTGATAGCCTTGAACAAAATTGCTCAGAGACAGCACCCAAGCCCTGAGGTCAAGGCCCACAACTTTCTTAAAAGTAGATCTGTGGATCAAGTGGTAGGATGACAACCCTGAGCAAAAAAGCCAAGCAAGAGAACAAGGTCCCACATTCAAGTCCCAGGACCAGCAAAAAAAGTAAATTAATTAATTAAATTAATAAAAAATTAAAATAAAATAAAAATGATACTGTCTATATAAAATTAGGTAATGTTATTATTCTCAAACTAAGACCCAGGAAGTCTAAGGGCCCTTTCCTTCTTCAACTAACCTGAGATGGCACCATTCCTATTCCATTTCATCTCAGTATCTCATTTCTTTCCTCCCAGGGGAAAAAAATGGAAAACGTGGTATCAAACATGAAGGAAAATGCTGAGTCCTCTTATGTCACAATGCTACAACTGCCTTTGAGTTATTTTACAAAAAGTATTCCTTATCACCCATTGTCCACTGAGGTGGATGCCCACCAGCTAGCATGTACACACACACATACAAAATGCTAAAAGAAAGTTTCAATAAAGTTCTTGGCAGAAAAAATAGTACAGTCAGTTGTGAACTGTCCTTTAATCCTAGATACTCAAGAGACTGGAATCCAGAGAATCACAGCTCTAGAGTACCTCAGGCAAAAATGTTATGAGACCTCTATCTCAACAACAACAAAAAAAAATGTAGGCATAATGGCACATGTTTGTCATCTCAGCTACAGAGGAAGCATAGATAGTACAGAAGACTGTGGTCTAGACTGGCCTAGACAAAAAGCAAGATCCTATTTGAAAAAAATAACAAAAGTAAAAAAAGGGCTAGGGTTAGGACTCACATGATAAAGTGCCTATCTGACAAGCATGAGGCCCTGAGTTTGAAACCCAGTACCTCCAAAAATAAATAAATAAATAAACAAATGTTACTTCCTTTTTGAAACACTGCTCAGCAAAGGCACATGGGCTTCCTCTCTTTGTGTGCTTGTTTGAAATGTTCCACCGAGGACAGCAGAATTGTAAACTCCTGTACAGACTCATCAGGAAAGCGTGTTATCATAATCCAAATGTTTAGTAAGAATCTGGGGAGATACACACTGAGTATACATTAGCCATGTCCTCTCTTCCAGTCACACTTCCCCTGATACCAGCACATCTTCCCTTTCTGGTAATGCTTACAAAATCCTTTCTCTTACCAACCCTTCCTCAGCTCCAGCCCACTCTTATCCAATATTCATGATGGACGTGGATTTCCTGGGGCATCCAATGAAGACAAACTGAGAGCATTGGAAACAATTGCCCTAGAACTATTACTTGGCTGTCTTTCATCCTTTAGAAGTTACACATTACCGCCCCCCAATTTCTGGGAAAGATTTTTTTTAATTGTGAAAATACTGTACAGAGGGGTTACAATTACATGGGCAAGATAATGAGTACATTTCTTATCAAGCATTATAGCCTCCTCCTTTG